ATATCTTAAACACCCTAACTGATAATTAAGTCTAAAAATATATAAGAATATAATAGTCGTATCATCAAAATGCATAAATTATATACTTATTTATAATCACAAATTATCCCACATCATGTTACCAAAGTGTCCCACTTCAAATTCCAATTATCCCACTACACTATCCTACATTCAAAAAATTGTTCCCCTTGACCAATTATCCCGCTTCTGGTGAAAATATTCCAATTGACTAACACCCCCTTAAATTCACACAAGAGATAACCTATGACTTCCTATTAAAAAAAATTGTAGAAAACACAGTGTTTGGCCATGATGGACAATTGAATGTACTCAAAATCATAATATTCCGGCAATGAATCAACTAAATATTTCTTCGTTGAACAGTTTTCCACCTAGCCTCCCAGAGAATTTAAATATTGGTCTACGTCTCATGACCTGGAAAGGCTGGAACTATGAGCAACTAGGTTGCATGGGTACAGGTACGGGTACCAATATGGGTACGAGACATGAAAATTTTGTAAAAAGTAGGGTACAGGGACATGGCTTTATATATGCATGTTATGCATATTTATGTGTTAAAATTAATAATTTATATAAGATCAATATTGTTTTTTCAATTACACAAGATCAATATAAAAGAAATAGATGTGAAGTATAGAATACACATCCAAGAAGTGTACGAGATGTGTTTTAAATTAAAACATGTATTACATAATTGAGTGTACGCCCAAATAACATATGCTATATCCAAGAAGTGTCCAAGAGGTTTGGGTATGGATATGGGTACGTGTCGAGTACAGGTACAACTTCCTAATAGAAGTACCCAAGTAACACAGGTAATAGTTTTTGTATTCATATCACATTAAATAACATGCATAACATGTGTGTTTCAGACTAGCATAACTTGGCATCTTTTATGAAGATCGTTAGCCCCCCAAGTAACATAGGTGAGCAATAGTTTTTGTATTCATATTACATTAAATTACATGCATAACATGTCTGTTTCGTACTAGCATTACTTGGCATCTTTTATGAAGATCGTTAAAATAAAGGAACAGACCATAAAGTATGTAGGTTCTTACTTCACAAATCTGCCACTGAATACCTAAAAGCACAGTATGGCATGAACAGATGATAAAGTCAAATTACAAAAGTTTTAAGGCCATAATATCTTCATACTATTTGGGTTGTAAAACATAAACATGATATTTGAGGGGAATATATTGATAACTTGAGCAGGAGATCAGGTCCCCAACAAGTCAAGTCCAAATGGCTACTGATATTCAAAGTTGATAGACAACACCCATGGGTATATACAAGAAGAACAACCCAAATAAACTCTATGGGCTAAAACAACAAATCAATTAGGAAGAGAAATGACTATATCCTAAATCACAGTTGGATAACTTGACACATTACATTAATTAGATTAAAACATAAACTTTGTCTCAACTGAGAATATCTAAGAAGTTAGACATCTCTATGCGAAGAAAGAAAGAAGACATGTAGCTCGAGGTTCAAATAAAGATGATGTGTGGGGAGAATAGGATCTAAGGAGATATAAAACGCTAACCCATATCTCTTCTCTTTGTAAGAGCAATGAAATACCCTACGAAGTTAAGAGAAAAGGAAGCCATTGGCTCATTTCCATCATGATAGCCCAGTGACACTCTGCTTGAGAAAGATCATCGATCACAAAGTTAGATAAAAGGAATCATTTTCATTTACGCTTCAAGCAATGTAAATCCATCAAGGAACTATGACGGTAGGCTAAGAGCTTTGCACTGTGCACTGGGTGCTGAAGATCCTAGGTACGAGTATAACTTGTAACAAATTTCGACAATTTGACTCTAGATTCACCTTTTGCATTCATGGAAACCAACGATAGACTATAAAGAGAAGAGGCTTTTTCAGTGATTTGCGTTCCATCCCTCATAACAACTAGATCTTACGGACGAAGTCTCATGGATCCCACACAAAATTTAGATAATATGAGAAGCGCGAGGCAGAGATAAGCCCTAGAAATGAACGACTCAACGAGGTAAGTCAAGAAAAAGGGAGTACCTTTTCCACGAGAGGACAAGAAAAGCAATGGGGCGAGGATGATGGAGATGAAGAGGAGAAGAATCACAGGAAGTGGACGGCATCCTCCTCCTCCTCCGCCTCTGTTCACACCGCGCTTCGTTGATGCGGCCATTGCCGCCAAGATCCAAACCCTAGAAAAAGCCCCAAAACACCAAATTAAGCAAAGAATTGTCACATTTGATGATGAATTACTAGCGCTTACCTGTTGGATCTGTGATTTAGATCGATGGATCGATCTTGACGAGGGCTGAGGCTGCCTTTTTTCAAAAAAAAAAAAAAGAAAAAAAAACTTTTTTTTGTTTCCTCACTCGTTGGAAAATGTTGAAGTGAAGAGAGAGAAATAAAAATGATTTTTTAGTAGTACAGGAGAGAACGAGAGACGAGATCCGGAAAGCCACGCTGCAACACTAAAAAAGGATGAAGCTTTCTTCGATATTAGTCCCTTACATTTTTAGTATTTTTAAATTACTCCCCCAAACTATTGAATTGCTATGAGCGGCACTTAACATTCTACTACCTTCTTAGTTCTTATTCCTACTCTTGACTGGAGAATTGAAATTGCTGTGAGCACCCGCTTACATTCCGATACCTTCTTAGTTCCTACTCCTACTCTTGACTGGAGGGTTAATTTGGAATTATTACTTATAAGAATTGGGGGATCTATACAGTTACTCAAAGATGCAATGAACTAATTTGAATATGTTAAAGATGTAAGGGGCTAGAATCCAAAATCCTGAATGTTTTATTTATAGAAGGAAATGACTCAACTTTGATGGAAGATACGGATGCAGGTGAGCCCTGTTCCAAAGAGAAGAGAAATGTCTTAGCTTTAATAAATACTAGCCGTGAACGCGGTGCAAACCATGAGATATTTTTTTTCCTGCTATATTAATCTCAGTTTTTTAATGCTACAATGATATTTTTAATTTTTTTGAGATTGCTACCGTTCCCATCTCTGCTATAGTTTTTTAAAATGCTGGAGCATTCCCCTATGCTACAGTGTTTTTCCAAAAAACATAGGGCTCCATTTGGATACCATGGTGTTTTATTTGTTTCATGGTGTTTTTGCCAAAAAAATCACAATGCGTTTGAAAATCACGGTGTTTTTTGAGCTAAATCATCCTTAAACCAAAAACACAACACTTATTTCAAAACATCTAAAAGGTGTTTTAAGTTTGGTATTTTGATTTTGAGTTTGAGAATGTGTTAATATAATATCTAACATAATATATTAAATGTAATTAACATAGAGTTATTATCAACATGTTTATTATACTATATATTATATTATACTATACTATATTATAGCTAATCTATTATTTAGTAATATTTATTAAATAATATAAAAATAAAATAAATAAAATATCTTATATAACAATATAATAACATATTAAATACTAATATTTAATATGTTAACAATGTATTATATAATAATAAATACTAATAAAATATAAATAAACTAATAAAAAATAAAAAATAAAAAGTTATTGATAATAATTAATAATATAATAATAATATACTACCCAATAGTATAATCGCTATAATATTATTAATTTTTTATTAAATAAACTGTAATAAATTAATAATTATAAGATATTATATAATAGTAACATATTTAAAAATAAAATAATAATATAATAATTATATATTGTATAATATTTGAATAATAGTAAAATATTATATTATATTAATAATAGTATAATATTATATTAATAATAAATTAACATTATTATAAAATATTAATATAATATATAACAATAACAAATTGATATACCAAAATAATTAAATATATAATTATTTGAAAATAATATTTAATAATTATAATATAATATAACTTATTAAGTACAATATAATATTATAATACATTATACATTTTTGTATTGCATTATATTTAATACTTCTAATACTATAATAATGTAAAGTTAATATTATAACAATTTATTTACAATATATTTTATTTTAATTAATATATAATATATTAATAATATGTTCAATACTAATGTTTTAACAAAGAAAACATCATGGTACCCAAACGAAGCCTACAGTATCCAGCATCATGTTTGCTACAACAAATACTACTGTAGCATTTTACTGTAGTATGAATGGTGAATCTTGAGTTCTCCCCTTTGTATAGAAGAGTAGATGATGAGCATTGCTCTTTTAAAAAAAAATTGTCCATGAATGAAAGAAAAGAAATTTACAAAAGGACAAAGTGTGATGAGTGTCAAAAACTATTAACAATAAAAATATAAGCAGTGTGACTTTTTTGTTAGATGGTGTCGCGGCAACAAATGCTTAGGAATTTTCACCACTTCATTTCTTAAATTTACGATCAGCTTTTCTCCCAGCCATTTCCTAGTTAGACATAAGAGTTTTTTTTTTTAATCACTTAGCATGTACAAATTTTACATATTGTAAATTTCTCATGAATTCCTTTTAAACTCTAATTATAATAGTTGCAATAAATCCCAAGTTGATGGCTTCAATGGCTCTCAATAGTTAATGGACCTTTTATCTTCAGAATTTGTGCTTCTCCCGTGACTATTTTCCCATTGATTTGTCTCCTAATGCAAGTTTTCAGATGATGAAGAAGTAATCCATGCCGCACTTCATAAATAAGTGGCAGAAATTTTGTTACTGATTTTGATGTATTGCTTTCTACACCAGCAAGGAAACCAAAAAATAAAATTGCATTATCATATTTAAAAAACCTCAAAAAAACACATGCTCTCGTTTCTTGGTCCGGATTGTATGAAATACTGTGTGCTGTGAATAAATGAATATTTGTTTTACGCGCAAGCATAAGCAATAAAGCTCATTGTCATGAATTTGCATTTTATATCAAGCTCTGGCCTGTTACCCAGGGCACATTTCATATATTACAACACTGAAATTTTCTTTAAATTTGTACTCAAATAGATGGCTTGGACTCTGCCAAACTCTGGTATGATTTCACCTTAGCTCTAAGCAGCAAAAATTGCAATGAGCAAGGGGTTCCTTTGTAGCCATCTCAGGAAATCAGCTCTGCTGATCACTCCATCATTGTCGACATCAAAACCTTGAAGTAGTTGATGAACCTGCCAGGGAGTAAACACCTAAAATTCATTGACTCTACCAAGCAAATGAGCTCAAGATTAGCGACTTAAGCGAAAAAGTTTTTTTTTTTTGGGCATAGATACCCTTAAGTCATACGTATTTGCAAAACTACCTCTCAAATATCAGTATTTGCAAAACTACTACTACTACAAATCATCAACTTCGGAGGAAAAAAATTCCTAGCAAATCATCAACTTTGATATGTTAATTAGTAACTGCAATGTAGAAAATACCCCGAAAGCAGTCCAAATTTAACACAGTATATTCAACAAAGTCGATGATTTGTTAATTTGGGAAGTATTTTTTCCTCCAAAGTTAATGACTTGGGGGTAGTTTTGCAAATACTCATGGTTTAAGGGGTAAATATACAAAAAAACCCAAAAAAAATCTATATGATAAGAAGGCTAATCTTATGATGCGGTGAAATGTTGCTTACAGTTTCTTCGCTTGTATCTGGCATACTTGATTGAATTAAGTCACCAAGCTACAGCATGAATATAGGTTAATTTCACAACTGAAGAACTAATAATAAGGCAGCACTATAATGAATAATAAAAGCGTACCAATTACCTTGTTCAGAGTTATATGGTCTGCAGCACCACCATCATCACTGCATTTACTATATGCAGTTTCACAAGCATTCCTGAACAATGGCTGCTTCCTTACATATCCTGATCCAAGCAAGAACTGCGATGCAGTTTGTGAGTCAGGGAATTGTTGTGTGAGTGAAATATGCAGCTTAATTATGCAAGGAACAAATTTGAATCAGTTAGCAATTTGTAAGAGGGTATCAAGAGCTAAATGATGTCAATTTTTGGTATAAAGAGATAACAATCAGAAGTAGATGGCTCGATGCATTTTGTGTTATTCTGAAGTTTATTTGATTTAATATATATTACAAAAATTCAACCTCCTATAAAGTTTGGTCGCTCTCTATACTGGGCTTTTTTCAGTTCAGATTTTCCTGGCCTAGCAAATCCATCCTCAAGCAGCCAACAACCAAGTGAACAAAGTTGAAGTATCTAGCTTTCTGATAAGCATGACAAGGTCACTGATAACAAACTTTCAACATGATATGCAGGATCCTCCTCTTTCAAGGAACTTCAAATAGTTTGCATAATTGTAAAACTACTGATGCTAATAACTTTACCTGACGAAATGTGATGGATCCCTTCTTTTCCACATCTAAGTAGTTAAAAATCTGTAAGGAAAAAAATGCAAATGGTTCTGATTTAGAAAGTCATATCAAAGAGTGGAAGATGCATGACTAAAACCAAAGCACAAGCACCAGAGACATCATAACCATCAAAAATATGTCCTAACTATTTGGTTTAAAGCAAAACATACAAGGAGAAATATATCCCAAGCTAGATTAGATAATTATGGATGGTTCTGTTTGCAGGCCGACATATAGTTAAACTAGATAACCAAGACTAGGAGATTTATATGGGAATAAAATCTGTAATTTAGTTTCGAATACTTCTTACAATAAGCTGTTTCAGGGGAAATTTTTGATGTTTTACAGAAAACTAATGGCATGAGCTTATGAAACTCAGATTGTGAAAAGCCAAAGAGGCTAAAACACAAAATAGATGGAAATTTAATCTCGAAACTCTCATTAGTTTCACTTTCCTAAAAGCATCCTTAACTGAATACTCTTTCATCTGTAGCTACAATTTCAACATAGTTTGAATTGCATGATTTTACATAAATCATCTCATATAATTCACACAAGACAACTTAAAAATATTTCCTCTACATAACTTTGATTTCTTCCTCCTTTAGTATGACACTTTGATCTTTACTGTACAAACTTGCAGATTCTCTACAAGTTTCATCCTCTCTACATGCTATGGATTTTGACTTGGCAGTACAAAAACCATGATCAAGTGGAGCAAGGTAACAGAAAAACTTTTTAGAAAAATGAACCACAAGTCATTAATAATCATGTAATGGACATGGGCCATTAATAATCGTGTAATGAACATGAGTCGTTACTAATCACATAATTAAATTATGAACATGAGTCATAAATAATCATGAAATGAACTAAATGTCCTCCGAAATTAAGTGCACGGGAAGCATATGCTCGAGATTTTGAAGTACCTACGGTCCTACACTATCTAAATTGGTGGTGGATGAGCAACTTACTAAATGGAAGCCTAGGATTGAACCATGAGAACTGTTAAAAGTCCCTTTAACAATTACCCCAAAACTCTGAAGCTATGCTGAGAGTTTGACAATTTTCATATTCTATCATGCTTCCGCAGGTTGAGTACCCTTCTTTTATGGGCCGAACCCTGGATTCACACAGTAATCAATTTTTTTAAAATCCGCTTTTAAATTCATGGCCGATGGGATTTGAAACTGGTTTGCTCTATTGCCGTGTTAAAGTTCTTCTAACCAATATAGGAAAAATCCAAAGTTATGGTGAGGGTTGAGGATTCTATTTTTATATTCCATCAAAAAGCATTAGACTATAGATTTCTAGGAGCATTTGCATTTACAGTAATAGAGACCCTTGGAGTGTTTCAAAATGAAAATAAATTATTATTATTTTTATTTACAAAATGACAATCGGATAAGCTTTTTCTTCTTTTTACTCTATCATTCATCAGCACCTCTTTTTAATTTGGTTACTCAATTAACCTTAGGTTCTCAAAGGGTTTATGTTGCTACTTTCTTGATATATAACCAAGTATGACATTTTCCACAAATTGTTGAGCTTTTATCATTTTTTTATCACAAATGTTAGAACGTCACATTCTAACCCTTCTTAGGTTTCACCGCCGAGTTCTAGTTTGTTACCCTGTGTTAACATGGTCAAGCTCTCTATAAGTGTAGTTTTAAAAATTAAGCAAATTGAACCATCCAATAAGTAAGGGATATGAATTAATGTAGGATTAAAATATCTCCCATTTATTTCTTAAGCACCTTAATGTAATGATAAAGAACTGCTAAAAGCTGAAAAGGAACATTAAACCAAAGTTTAACAAATGGCCAAAAAAAAAAAATTCATAAGGAGCAGGAGCGCATTATTCTGTTTGTGAATGCATTTTCAATTTTTAAGTATTATTTTTATAGTCAACAAATTCATAAGCAACTATAAATGTAAATATGCATGCAATGAGAGAAGCATTAAGTTAACAATAATAATGTTCATTTAAAATCTTATGAAAGCTACAAAGCAACATAATTAATATCTATTATCATGTTAAATTAATTATGTATAACATTCCAAAGTACGAAGAATGATTTAAGAAAAAATGTCATTAAATTTCTAAGACAAAAAGAATCGCAGATCCCAATTTAAGAATAAACATTTGTGCAAAGCAAGTTACACAAAACAGCATTAGGAACATATCTAACCTTTTCGGAGAGACGACAATATCCAAGCCCACAAACTGGTAAAAAGCCATGAATGTTGACACGTCCACTGCCACAAAGAATTTTAATAGTATAAAGGAATTTTGAAGCTGTGTTAACCTTAAACTTAAAACATCAATCCGTTGAATGTCAAATTATCAGTATACCAACAATAACAACAAGCAACAAAAGCTTTTTGGCCTACGTTTTTGCTTAAACAATAAAATATAATAAAAAATACATATCTTGTGAATATTCTGCCTTCACCAAGGACAAGGAATTCTAGGATCTAATGTGATTTCCAAATGCAAGCAATCAAACACACAGATACTTAAAGCAAGATCATACTCTAACTAGACAATATCCTAAAGGTTATTTAACAAAAGAGTGCACTAGGATAAATGCTAAAGAATTATGGTTTTGTTCTCCATTATTTGTAGTGCTATAGGAAGTAGTTGATTATTCATAGCATTGGATCGGAACTACCGATACAAGAATTAGTCCATTTAATTATAAGCTCTATTGACTGATTTTGGTTTTCCACTTTCCCTCAACATTACACTATAAAACCAACTTTTGATACTTCAAACGTCATGTCTACTTTCTAAAAGTCGTTAGCCAATACCAATATGTATTGATTGTTATTAACTAATATCAGTTATAATTAGTTGATTTTCTCTTCATGTGATCGATATGCTTATATTCCAAAATGGTACAGCCAATATGTACCAAACAAGCTACAAGAGAAGTTTAAATCGCATGGTGATAAAATATTTAAAGTGCCCTCGATATTTTCGAATTACAAATTATGATCTTTACTGACTTAATCTTAACTAATTTTCTCTATAGAGTAAGAATGACGTATTTTTAAGATTTTTATCTTCTCAATAGAAGAAATAATGTTTCACAAATGAGAGTTGACCATGCTAAATAAACATCAGCAAAACGATATGGAAAGCACCTAAATAATCCCTTGTTCACCTGTCATTTCTTTCAAAGCGATCATATAATAAATGGAACTGCATTCAGTTAAAAAATTCAAAAAAGGTCAAACTAGTACTTTAATAGAATCTATAATGCTGGCATGTATGAGACCACATGCAGTGACATTTATGTAGAATGTACATAAAGAATACTAAATAATGCTCTCAGATCATTCTAACTCAAACTTGGGGAAAACACAATCACAAAATAAGAAGATAAGAAAGGTTAGACATTACTCTGTATCGGGGTTCATAGCAAAGAACTGATCCAGAAGTTCCATGGCTTCAGATGTCGTTATGCCGAATGACTGTTGAAAAACAAACAAAATATCAGTTAGTAACTGAAGCGTGAAAAAGGAGTCATCAATATTGCAGTAACAAATGTAGAAGGTTTACTAGTATTTAGTAACAACCACATCTAAGCCTAGTAGCCAACAGTCAATTAGGAGATACTGGTAGAGGAGGAGTATTTTTGGGGGTAGTTTCTGCTGTAATTCGACAAAAATTGCCAATGATACAAAATAAGAACAATAATCTGCCTCAGATATCCCATTATTGAAGACGAGCTAACTCTCTTTTACAGTGAAAAGAGAGAAAATGAGACCTGGACGGTATCTTTTCTGCTAGGAATTCAGTGATCATAAGAATTTCCTAGGGTTATATTCGTAGAACTGGTATAAGCTCCAGTTAATTTATCCATGAAGTAGGATTTACTCTGTCCTTGAGAAAATGTGACAAATGCACAAACAAATAGGACAAAGGAATATTATTATCTGCAATGGAACATGTTTAACAAGGAAAATATTATGTCATAAGAAAAATGCTGAGGTAATTTCATGTCCATCACAATGGAATATATATGAGACATTTACCAAAATTTATATTTTAAGAGGAAACCTACACGTCCTAAAGGGTTCACAGATTAATTCATATTATATATACCTGATCCCAGAGACCATAAAAGTAGTTGGCAGAAAAAGTTGTGTCACCAAGTCAGCTCATATACAGTAACATATCATGCCTCACTTGATCCTGGATAGCTACAGCCCACAGTATTGAGCACAGAAATCATTTAATAGATAACTGAGCTTCCTCTTTGTCAACCAAGTTCAACCTTGGTTTTGACTTATCTCTAACTTCTCCTCTCATGAAGATACTAAATAACAATCACACAAAGTATACTAATCTATTAATTATGATGAAGATATGCCTTCATTACTATTCTTTTAAAGATCAGCAACATTATAGGAACAGGTGTTAAGACAAGATGCTATGATAACTCATACATCTAATCATGATACCCCCAAAAGATTATTCTCAATCATAAGATAAATTAGAGACAGGAGAACATTTCTCATCGACTTACAGGAGGATATTTAGGTTGCTTCTCTTTTAAGTTTTAACCCATGGATTTTGAGATTATATCGTTTACAAGAGGCAGAAAAAAATTAGTCAATAAAAAAATAAAAACTAAATGAACAGTGGATAAATTACATCAGGACTCGTAGAAGTGTATTTAGTAAGAATAAAGGACTCACACTTTCAGTCAGTGCCATTTCTACCATATAAGTCGAACACTTTTCCTGCAAAATAATACATTAAGAATTTGCAAATGCATTAATTCAATAAACAAAAATGTTGTCCCAAAAAAGAACACATAAAATGTATGGAGAAAACGAAGGGGAAAAGAACTGTTATGAGTGTTGAGAAATAAGCAAGCTGCTTATAGTAAGCAATGTGACACATGTACAATACAGCATGACATATGGACACACTGTATATTTATGTGTCTACTGGATCTACCCACTTGATCAATTAGCCAATAGTTTAACTATATATAAAATCATTCATGCCAATCTAGCGGTATTTTTTTATGGGAATTCTATCGATCACTGTAGGAGCCCTATTCAATATCACTGCAGTTCATCTTTAGGAGGATAGTTCGGACTTCGGACCACTGCCTAGTTAAATGGGTAGGAAGGTGGTAAATGTTCAGATTGTTTGCAATGTCTGCACTACCTACCACCAACAAGTTTCACATAAGAGCTATTGTATTTCTACCATGCAAAAGTATTTTCTTCATATGCAGCGGATAGCAAGAAAAAAGAGAATTACCAGCACTATGTTGTGCTGATTGAAGCTAAATTTTGACCCACAACTTTTCCAAACTACTTCAGGTTTTTCTTTCACATTCAATCAACTGGCTTTACATACGAGCAGGCAAGTACCATACCTGGAATCTTGTTTAGATGGGCTTGTATTAGGTTCAGGGAGATACCAGGACTATAACAGATGAATACAAGGCAAAGTGGGATTAAATAAAATGGAAGGCTTCAAAATGCTATATCAGTGTTTTCCATGCACGACGCGCAATGTGGGGTGCAAAGTCCATTTACGCGCACATGCGCAAGGCGACATGCGATGCACGAACCCGACTGAAGCAAGACACACACCACAAAAAATTCTTGAAGATAGATAATCAAGCATGAAAGAACATGTTTATGGATTTTCACATAAAAAATGTCAAGTTAAATAATATCTACAACCAAATAAAAAAATACGGTCCAAATTCATAATGCCAACACATCCAACATAGTAGCAAATTTCACAATTTTCAAAATCAAAAGTCAAATCAAGACTAATATTGAAGCAAAATCGAATAGAAAACATGGATCATATGGGTCCTCAATCAGGCTACTAAAAAGGCCTAATGAGTTTATTTTGCTCTTCAGGATATGGGTTATTGGGTATAAAAGCCTGATTGAAAAGTTAAAGAATAATAATACACAAGACTATGCCTTGCATATGCCCTGCACTTGCAGAGTGCTTACGAGGCAAAAAGGCCTGCCGAATGAGAAGCGGGAGCTTCGCCACCACCCCGCAGGGCGCATGGGGTACAGTGAAGCGCATGCCTTTGATAACACTGCTCTATATTATTATGATCATATGTCAAGAGGGCTAAAGGGAATTCTAGGATAATGGAGTCAGGAGATATGTTGTATGGTTAAGCATAGACTGCACATGGATAAGGGGGGTTGGCCGTTCATCTGTTTGACATCATAGTAGTATAAAGAGGATGGAATTCTGAATAGGATCTCCTATATTATATGCTATGGATTCTTTGCCCATAGCCTTGGTTAATACTGCTCGTAAAATAGCTGTATTATCAACAGGAAGGAACAAGACTATCGAATAATATATCTTCCATAAAACAATCAATAAAAAATATGCAACACCAAAATATATTTCATGTTCATTTGGATGAGAATGGTAGTGAAGAATAACTAATAAATTGATCCTAGAAGAACATCAAAAAATCAATGTCCTGCTGCAGGTATTGCATGCATATATCATGAACACGCAAGGTTCTCTCTAAACATCAGTAATGTTCAACACTGAGAGGTAAAAACTTCTTCATGCAGCATTAACTTAACGTAAATTTGAAAATACTCGGAAATTTAATGTTTTGTTTCTTGATTATAGCGGTTAATTTTATATCATATAGCAACAAGAAAACATGACGAGAACCATCTAAAATTCTGATTATTAAATAATCTAATGAGAACACCTTAAATAAAAAATTTCATCTAATCTTCCTTCCTCCTCCACCTTGACTCCAGTAGCATCCTCCTCTTGATACAGAACAACTATTCAAGTCATATATAGCTTAATTAAGTGTTATATGGAAATCTAGAATGAGAGATAGTATACAGTATACTCACTCCAAAATGTCATCTATGGAAGAAATCTTAATTTATTAGGAGTTAATTTTCTTAATTTATTAGGAGTTTATTAGAAGAAATCTAAATTCATCTATGTCATCTATGCAGCATTGAAATTTCTACTTTATTTGGGATTGGATTAAACCAATATATCTTAGTTTGTTGAAAATTACAGTTTAGTTAGGATTAGGAAATTTCATATTATGTAATCTCTTTTAGTTAGGGAATTGATTAAATTTCAAAATTCTATGAAGATTTTGCATGTGAAGGTGGTTAAATAAAGGTAAACGCCGCAAACCTTAATCTTCTTATCCTTCTTCCCTGTTGTCTTCCATTATTTATTAATTAGTATCAAAGCAGAAAAGATTCACCATCATCACATCGACATCAATCCAAATCAAATTTTGTTCGTGGTTGTTACAATAGCACTACAGAACGGCTACACGGTCCAAATTTCAGATTTCAGGATCCAAATATCCCTCTTTATATTTCAGGCTCGACCCAAAGAGTTTAAAGTGTGTGAGGTCTATCAATATAACAGAGGTCAAAACCCGACTGAAGTACAAGCTCCAAATTTATAACAACATAAATTCCCTTTCATTGAAAATGAAACTTTTAAGGCATCACAATACACGTCTAAGTTGTTGTAGCATCTTGTCTTAGTGAAATCATAAAAACAATGACACCAAATCTTTTCATTGATGAAGATGATATAGTAAAATAATAAAGTAATGAAAGTAACAACAGCAGAATGACATCAAAATTCTAAATTCATCACCAGCCCATGCTGGTTTTTCAGGAAATAACAAATAACTTATCAGTTTCAGGAATAAGAATCAGCACAACTGATCAGGAAATTGGATGAAAGAATTTTACAAGATAGGCAAAACTTCTTACTCTTGTAAGCTGTGAAGCTCTTGTAAGAAGCATCATATCACCATAAGAATGTGATGTCTGCACAACATTAAGTGCCCTCGCCATAGCATAGCTAGTCTGCAGATTCAATGCATGCACAGAAAAAGGTAAGTTAGTTCACCAGGCAGCTTCCAGTCTACCTTAGCTAAATATGCTATAACCTAGAAGAAAATATCTCTGGGGACAGGAACCACTCATCAAGATAACAAAGATCCTCCATTCCTTAACAGTTAGTAATTCTAAGGACAGTATACAGGAAATATACTTGTCAGCAATGACAATAATGACATCATTATTATACAAAACGCTACTTGACATCTCCACGAAAGGGGAAAAAAGCAAAAAGCAGGTAATATATGTTCAAAGTCAATTGATCATGCCAGGCATAAAAAAAGAGATGCACACATGAAACAAAAGCTCCCCCCACCCCCTCAAGAAATGAACTGAAAATATATCCTCTTGAGATATTGGTCAAACTTTCTTGATATACTGAATTAATGATTGCTAGAGTTATTAGAGTATTAAGGAAGTTGTAGATATTTGTTTCATGTTGGAAAATCCTACTTTCTTTGTACTGCTCTACTATAAATAAAACCTAACCATGTCTCACTAGGATATTGAAGTCTGTTTTCCATCATAAAATGGCATCAGAACGGATCTAATCTTCTCTTTCCAAAACAAAAGAAAAACACCATCTCAAATAGTGGTTCCTACCTTTCACTTGCCAAAGCAATAAACAATATACATATATCTAAAACACCACTCCCTATTTTACTTGACAATTTGCTAGTGAGTTAGGAATAAAACCCAATGTTTTCAACGTGATTTAAGAACATTAAATATAATGGTGTTACTGAAAAAATCAGATGATGGAAACTTAATTCCCCAAAAATATGGAAAAGCATTGCCCACTGCTCACCCGCTCGGCAAAATGAACAGCACTTTCTTGTTTGATCTCAAGTGGTGCAATTAAAGGCAGGTACTCCACCTGTCAAATAAAAGAGGGTTGCCATTACATAGATCTCTAGTAAGGGCATACGTTAAGTTCATGAAATTTGGAGGAAAATATATCTATAAAACGAATTATGTATAAAATTGTAAGCATGTGTGACAAAAACATGACCATTTAAATGAACTTGTGGTCCATTGTAATAAACTTTGGTGGCCAATTTTATTGGTAGCTTTATCATTTGCATGGATAATAGTAGCATTAGCAAAGACGTGTAAGAAGTCAACAAACAAACAATAGAAGACACAGAAAGAGGGACACATATAATCAGATTGCATAAAAGAATTTGCTACAAAATCAACTAGCAGATGTTTTTCCTTTCAACTTTTCTGCGATTATTAATGCTACATATCTATAATCACAATGATTAACCAGTTGTATTTAGGTTTATTTGATTCAGGTGTAGTTTGACTTTTGATCGGATCATTGTTGGGGAAAAACATTACTCAACTGTTATTTGCATCATGTAATCTAACAGACCTGAAACATTGCTTAACCTTTTGAAATAACTTAGGCACGTCATAACTCTATGTTATTACTATATAACATGTGTTATTTGAATGTAACTTACGTCACGCTATTTGAATAAAACATGCATTATTTGAACATAACTTGCGTTATTGCATAGAGAACTGAGAGTATTTCCTTTCTTAAAACTTGAAGCAATTATGTGATTACTTTTGAATTGTTTGTTAAGCATTCATGCTTATTTTGGTGACACCATTATCATTATGTGATTGTGAAATTATGAACATGGTTAATAAAATGAACGTGAAATTAAGAACGAGATGAAAATTTGTGATTATTAATTAAATACTCTACTGTGATACTTGTTAGTAAATCAACATTGCTTAAGACTTGAGAGTGTTTTCTTTAAATTGTTTTAACCTTGGAATACATGTGCTTTGAGATTGGTTGTCAAGCATTTATGACGTAATTATGTCGAAATTGAGATGTTTGATAATTGTGATGTTATATATTTGAAGATTGTGATGATTCTATTTATTAACATCATTTTGAATATTTTTTTATTTATTAAATATTTAAATAATAATAACAAGTAACCTACATTATGTGTTACGATTTTTTTAGTTTTGTTTTAACCTTAACCGGAGGTGAAGCGTTATCTCATGCGATATCTTTTTTTTTCCCAACATCGGTTCAGAGACGGCTAAACTTCTTTATTCCTGATAAGAGCAAAAGTTGAAGTCTTTTCTGCTTATTTGGAATGGTAAACTGGTTTAGTCACAACCAAGGTTTTAAATATCGGATGTCGGGTTCATGTCGCTCGGCCAAAATTCATGTCGGATAGCGGAAATCGGGGATATATCGGGGGACATGAAAAAAATATCGGATTGCCATATCGGATAGGTTGATATAATATCATAAATGGAATCTTCACATACTTGATAATTATATTGTCTAAACATATGAAAAAGTACATATGAGAAGGTCTTCATTTTCACAAGCAACCACCAAGTTTTTGCTTTTGCATAGAAAACCAAATAGACACTAGAACAGCTTAACTGCATATGTTTAGACAATTCTTATTAAAGTATAATAATTATCCAGAATATAAAAATTACTAATACAATTCTTTATACACAACTTTATTTATTAATGTAAATATTTATTAATTGTTCAATTTAAGAATTTATGTTATTATAAAAGTCACTTCATAATTTTACACTCAAAGAAAAAGATTACAAAAAAAATGTTCACATACAAAGCGCGTGCATTATACTAGTAGGAACAAAAAGAAAATTCTACTGAAATTGAAAATTAAACTCGTAATTGCTATTCTAAACTACTTAACTGCATCGACTAACAATTGCAGGATTTTTATTATATATCTGTCATTTCTCCAAACAAGAAGCTAGTAAAATCGAAGTATATGTGCACCTAATACAAATAAATTCATGTGTTCTTATAGCCTTCCATTATAAAGAAAACACATGCAATAACAAGTAATTAAAACCTACAACAAGCACCCATATGGGTAGTGTATGGGAAACAATGTGAAACTTTACATAAATAGAAATAGAAGGTGAAAGATATTGCAAATCATATGATTTCAACATGTCAATGTGAAACCGATATTTCTGAATTTTGGCTGATATTTGATGGCCGAAATGTCGCCCGATATATCCGCTATTTTCCAACATGTCCCCGACATGACCTCAAAAACGCCATACGCATTAAATTCAACAATTTTGTGGCGGCTAGGCTCCGAATCCGCAATATCGGCCGTCATGTCCGACATGGCGGCCGATATTTAAAACACTGGTCACAACAGGATCAAATGTTGAAGCCTGTTCTGATTATTTGGCATGACAAATCACCATCTTCTATGATTCTATCCAATCAAATGTTGAAGTCTGTTCTGATTATATCAAGCCTATGGCCCTATATTGGTGTTATATTCATGGTTGAACATCAAAGAAGATAAATAAATTATGAACAGATGTTCTCAAGTGGAAAATCCTACCTTTGTCCCTTATGCAATTTAAGCATATGAACCAGGGAGTAACCCTTCAAACTTCTCCTAGACAAAGAATTCGAGAAATGGAGTATTGTTATATATCAGGTTCCTTCCAGAAACTTTAGTCCTTTTAAGGAACTCCTTGCACGAATCCAACTCTTCCATTCAGTTTTGTTAAGGTTTATTTCCCCCGCAATCATTAGGATTCATATTTATTGGGATCCTACTAGGTTTTTATGCTTTTATGTTCGTTGTCGGCTACCTAACTTTAGCCTCCTCCTTTGTCCTGCCTTGAGAGAGAAAATGAAAGAATGAATATGAACAGACAACTCTGGCAAGGTTTATATACAGAGGACAGCCTTTAAAAGTAGTAGTAATATTGTGTATATGTAAAACACATTTCTTAGAGTGCATGCTAGTATGGAAAACAAATATGACGCAGCTTTACCTCCATGAAATTGTGGAATTGAGTGAACATTCTGAACATGAGCTTTGCCAAAGAAATCTGGCCCCTAAAAGAAGCCCAAATGTCACATAAATGAAAGAATGAAAGGGAAAAAAACCGAATTGAAGCCTTACCATGACTGGTCAAAGTGCACATGTGGATAACGAACAACCACAGGCTGAACTGGAAAGCCAGGAATGAATGCGCCAAGTTGAAAAGAGATGAGGGATCTTCCATTTGTTGTGGTACCCTCAGGGAACAATAAGACACGAGGAAAGTTGTTGCAAGAAGCCTTTCTCTGAATTCATGTCCTTAAAAGAATGATTCTGTATCAAATAGCTAATAAATAGAGTTTTTTTTCTCTATTGAACACTTCAAGAAAGCATTCTGAGAAAAAAGATTTTAGGCGCTCATCCAAACATGTACATGCTTGTAATTAGAAATAATGCATTTGCGAAATTTCCTAATTAATCTAGACCGAAGGCTATATTTGCCTGCAGTTCACAGATCCTAAAGATGGGTGAGCACCAGTCAAACTCGGAAGCATGACATCAACATCACTCTAAAAGTACACAAATATTCGATCCTAAAAACTCAAGAGTCAGACAGCCATCTTGTACAGATGCACAAGCATATGTTCGTATAAGGACATTGACTTGGAGTTGTGCTCCATAGTTAAATTAGATTGGATACAAGAAATCTTATGATGACATAATGTATGTGATTTGTCAGATAGTAATGATGACGTGATGTTTGACAGAAAGTGATGATGGCAAGATGTTATGATGATGATGCCTTTTGCAATCAGAATTGATTTCTTCTGCCTGACACCTTCACTGGGCCCCAATCTCTGCCATAAATTTGTTTTTAAAAGGGGCAAAGAGGTTTCTCAGATTTTCAGCATAGAGAATACTACTCCTCTGTGCCCAATTATCTATGGAGCCAACCAGATAAGTTGGTTAAAATCCTTAATGAAAATAAGCCCAGTTCTGAAAATGCGACTGCCAGAAGTTTGTAGGAATTAGAGAGGAAACGAAGTGTAGGCTTGCTAGGCCAAACTCTATAATCAGCATAAGAAGGTAACAATAAAAACTTGAAAATAAACAATTGAGTTCAGAAAAATCCTACCTTGATTTCGCTAACAGCATGTTTTCTTGATGCTGCTGAGAATCTATCAACATAGATTACCTACAAATTTTCAAATCAAGACATCATGAATAATAGCAAATAATCATTCTCCAATAACGTAAGCTATGATATGGCCATCACAAAGCCAAAGTACTTGAAGTTAACCAGGATATCTAGATCCCTTAATCAGTAAACTTTTCTACCGAAGAACAGGATATAATATACCTGCATTGCTCTAATTATAGTTCCAACAAAGGGCAGGGAATCATGTGATTCTGAAGCAACAATCGTCGGGAACAATTCATAGAAGAAGAATATGGGTTCTATATATGAAACATGATTGGAAACAACTATAGGAGCAACATCCCGAGCAGCAGGGTTCCCAATTCGCCTAATCCAGTGGTAGCTGATAGGTGACAACACAACAAGATAAGAAAATGAATATAAAGTTTAACATGAAAATAGATCTGGTATAGTGTATGTTTTTTTGTTAAACCACAAAATATTAAAAGCCAGATTACTTGAATAAGAAGTTATTTGGGCGGAGTTGAAACAATGGAATAGAGTGAATGCTACAAATGATGATGAGTAGAAAAAAATCCTTCTGTTTTAAGAAAGATATAATAGGATTTCTGGTGGCAAGGTCCACTTGACAGTCATCTCATGTTCCTCTTGGTGGGAACCAAAAAAAAAAGTTAAAAGAAAATTTGATTCAAGTTCATTTCAAAGATCTAGCTCTGAAGATATATCTTCAATAGCGAGGCCCAAGTCTAGTCTCCAAAGTATAATCTTAAATACCATGAAGCTTACCCATTTAAAACTTTGATGCCACCAAAGTGTTTTCTTTTTTATGGGAAAAAAAACAAAGTTCAAAAAAATCTAACCTTGATACACCAATTTATATAGGATTCATGGAGCCGACACAAACATTTGGAATAAAGGCTTTGTTGTTGTTATTGTACCCCCACTAAATTGATATGATTGAAGGAGAATACGAAGAGCAATTTTCGCAATTAATATAATCAAAGGAGACTACAAAGAGAAATTTGATCAACTTTGGGAGCACGGAAACGTCATAGAAGTATGGAAGAAACCTGTTATCAAAATGCTTGGAGTAATAAGGTGGTCTTTCATAACAAGACTCAAAACACACACATGCACACATATGCACAACTAATGCAGGCCTATACCCTAAGATAGAAGCTAATCTACCAGAGTTGGAATTGAACTTGCTCTTTGTAGTTTTTCTCTGTAGTCTCCTTCGACTGCATCAATTAACAGGGGTATCAAAGTTAAATTATGCAGAACTTTGGGGTACCTGTTGGGCAAATTTTGGGTATCTAAGTACAAATAACCCTTTCAAAATAAAGCCAAGCTTTTATGTTCAAGTACCAAAGTGGAAGAGCTGTTTGTATTTGTTTTACCCAAAGCAGAAGAGGATGCATCGAGTACAAATCCTAGTGATCCACATCAACCTCGACCGCCATCTCGGCATCGGGCTCTGCCGATCCTTCCACCCCTCCAACGCCGATTTCGTGGCGAGATATCCGACGGCGAGAGCCAAACCGAACATCACCAACCGAACCAAAGCCACCGGCACAATCACCACCACCTTCACCCACTCGTAGAACCCAGCGCCGACGACAGACGGCGTCCTGTTCTTGAACGGATCGATGGAGCTCGGCCTTGGTAGAGGTAGCTCCGGCGATGCCCCCAAGAATTCGAATGGATTCGGATTAGGGTTAGGGTTTCGGATTCCTCCTCCTCCGTTGACTTGGATGTTGATGACGAATTCTTCGTCGTTCTGGTTTCGATTGTGGAGGAGAGGGGTTTTGAGATTGTTGCTAGAGTCCGCCATTGGAGAACCAGTGATCGGCAGAGGAGGAGAGAGAGAGAGTTGTGAGAGGTGGCAGCGGTGACTGTAAGCGAATCTTAACCCAAATCTTGGAGGAGGTGGAGACAGCGAAGAGGGGAAAGTTGGGGGGTCAGAACCTTTTTGAAAATTAGAAGATAAATAAAAAAAATTAGGAATTTCCTATTTCTAGTAACTTTTCTTAATACAAAACCATCCGAACCTTTTTCGGGACTTGAAAAATAATAATAAATATATTAATAAAAGTAACTTTTCTAGAAAGTTACATTTCGCGTTCATAATTTAGAAACGCTCAATAAATGTGGTTCAATTTTGTTAGAGGTTGCGCATCTCGTCATTCTTTAATGGGAAAAAAAAATTTGATTGAGTCCAAACTTTAAATCAATCTTTTTGTGCAAGAGATCTTGGACCAAGATTCTCCCGTATTAGGAAGGAGCCCGAGGTTGACCCCTCAACTCGGCCAATCATAGAAACCAAGGGGGCCTCAGGTGTTGTACTTTCGGCACAAAATGGTGAATCAATTATGGGGTATTTGTTTCAAATTCTATAATTTTAGGATATGGATTTTATCATGAAATTTAAAATGCATAGGTGTTTTGTTATGGGCTGGGATTTCTAAAATGTTGTTTGTTTCATTAATATTTTAGGATTTATGATACTACAATTTGTAATATTTTGTTTGTTTCAAGCTCAAATTGTAGCAATTCCAAATGCCAAAAATTTGTAATATAATGAATATGTTATCTTGATAAGGCTACCTCCCACAAAAAAGACAAAATTAGGATTTGTCAAATTCTCTCCAACTGAGAGGTAAGCACACCCATTTATGGGATTTGTCAAAATCCTCTCCGATTGAGAGGATTTGGCAAATTCTAAAATTTGGGCACTTTTTGCACATTTGGGATTCAATATTCTAATTTTTTTAAAAACAAACACCATATATGGAATCCCAAAATACAAAAAAAAAACTTACTTTTTGATCCCAAAACTTATAATCCCTACCAAATGCCAAAAAATTTTGTGAAACAAACACCCCCTTACATGATGCATAATTCAGACTCATTGCTCCAAACCTAAGGTACCAGCCAAGTAAATCTCAGAATCTAGGCCCTCCTTTCAACCATCTAGAATATCGTCAAGTGAATAGGACAGGTGACACAATAATGATGAAAGGCATGCCATAAACAGGAAACATGAATTGACCATGGGTCTTTTAAGCCAAGATCTTAAGCCCGGACTGCTAGGCCACTGAGGGATTAAATCAATATATTTATTTATTTATTACTAGTGTAGATTAGTATACTTTGCTCATAATATACAACTATTTTGGTCTGTATAAAATGTTATTTTTAATCTTACATTGACGGTAACAAACTAGACTCTCTTGAAATTTTCTCAAAAACAAATTTTGTTTTGATTTCAAGGATTATGAAATTTGATGTCTCATCGTGTTCAATCGGTGGAGCATCCTAGCTCCAATGATCCTTTTTTTTCTTTTTTTTAGCACAGGAAAAGGCAAGTTAACCCGTGGAATCCACATAGGTCTCTACACGTATAGACAAGAAGACAGTCGCTAATGGTTATTGTCTGACATCACTCTTTTATTAAGTTAGTCTTTTGAAGAGAAATAATTGAATGATTCTACAATTTTCGTTTGCCTACTTTTTATCTCCACTGTTAGGTCAAAGATCGAACATCTCCTATTGTTTCACCATGATCAAAGGTAGAATATCTCCTAGCTTCGTCAACAATCAACTTTGAATATAGATGGTTATCTTCTTAGGTGTAAGAGTTGGAGTACATTATTGAACGAGAGATATCACCTGGATCGTTGTGGCCCGTAATCGTTGGAAGTAGCCTTATAATATTTTGATATTAGAGACATCGAAAGGGTTAGCAACGAAGTAGGAGGCTAAAATGAGGAGCACTGAGCAGTATACCGGCTAGTAAGTGTCACTGCCAGTACACTGCCTGATCAACCCGGTCGGTTAGACCGAGTTGGGCTGATTTTGTTTGTTTTGAGATTTTATTCAGGTTAGGAGCCATATAGTGTATTGTATCTAGTTTGAACCCTATAAATACAGGTCTTTCAGGACTAGGTTTGATGATCTAACCCAATGAGAGTTGCATATTGTAAAAGATGTTGATATAAATTAATGATAGAGGATTTACATATAAGGTACCATTTATATTATATGGTTGGATTCCATAGATGAAAAACTAAAATATATCTAATTAGTAATATGTGAGTTTTAGTACCACATTGACTAATTGAATGCATTTTAAATGGTTCAAATTAACATATGTGCTATATAGGGTATAGCAAATGTGTTAGAAATGTACACTTGTGTTGGTATGCTAGCGAGCGGGATTGAGCATGCGGGCACGAGCGAGCGGTCTGTGTGTGTGGTCCGTGCGTGTGGTTCGTGTGTGTAGTCCAGCATGTGCCCTTTTTGCATGTGCTGCATTTAACCAGCCTAAACGTTTCATATATTACGAACATTACAATATTTGAATGCTAGTGATAGTAGACGTAACAAATGTTGCAATAGTTAGCATTCAAAGCCTTGTCTAACCCCTCAGCTCACCTAAACCTTATATAAAGGGCTTCCTTTATTCATTTGAAAACACATAAAACATAAACAGAATTATTCTCTTCTTCTTTTTATAATTATGTAAGTTGTTGTTATTGAAGATTTCAGCGAAGTGAAGTTGCAATCGAGGTATTCAACAGAAGAGAACACTTCTTTGGACTGCTACTGTTTCATTCTCAAAAGTATTGTGCAAAACCTTATGCTATCGTATGTGGGGTATAATTTCTTCATGGCTAGTCCTCTGTTCTGAAGGCGTTCGGCATTACTGTAAAGTATTTTAGACTTTAAATTTATCAGTTATAGTGTTTTTAACTCTTTGCTCTATTCCTTTATTCCTATGTGGTTTGATCTACTTATGTCTGGATCTATTTTTAATCTTACTTTTCCTAACAATCTTGAAGAAACTAATAACATCTGAAGTTATGTATTCTATTTCAGGAGTTGGTTCTGGTATCTTTGCCCCTAAAATGGATATGTCTGGAATGCCAGAAAAGTTCAGGGGTCAGTTCTTCAAATGTTGGCTGCAACATATAAAGATTTGGCTGATGACTAAGGGGATGTTAGCAATGATACTTTCAGAATGCCCAAAGCCAGATGAAAAATATGCCATAGTACAGATAAAATTGCTATGGATAGAGAAGGATCGAATATCTAGGGGATGTATTTTGTTGGTAATATCCAATGTGCTCTTCGATGTCTATTGCTCTTTTCGGCCACCACAAAGGCCTTATGTGATGAACTGGACAAAAAGTATGTTGGCCTTCTTGTTTTGATGATGATTTACAAACAATTTACTTCTAATGTTGTTTGTTTAGTGTTTATGTTTTTTATATCAATTGTAGACAAACAATAAGTTAGAGGATGGATGGAATAGAGTCTCAATGATCATATTCAATGGAGGTTGGCGGAATAGTAGTTGAAGCCTTGCTATTCAAAGTTGAAGATCCAAGTTCAAGCTTTATCCAAGTTTACCAAGTTGAGCTACAATGAAGATCAAGATCACGCTTGGGTAACATTAGTTTAGGTTTATATTATGTGTGTTAGTACTTTAAGCTCAATCATATATACACACACATTATATTGGTTTCCTTGTATATATATACTATTTTGTTTAAGAATATATTGCATAGAATATGCAATTTTGAGAAAATATTGTTTTCTTGGTTTATGGGCTTAACAATAATCATATACATCTTTTAGTAAGTTTACAAAATTATTTTGTAATGTTTCAAAACATGGCTAAGCTAAAATGTCAAAACTCATGTGTTCACATTTTCATGTTTTGGACTATTTTTCAAAATGATAATATTTCTTATTTGGGAGGTCCTTTTTGAAAACTAGTTTTTTAGCATATTATTATCATGTCTATAATTATCTCCCAAAGTTTTATAATTTTTGGAATTTATTTGATATTTTTAAACCCAGTTTAAAGTTGAGTTTTTCTGTGCACTTCAGGTCTGTGCATGTTTAGTCGACTCATAAGTCGACTCACGAAGTGCAGCGGAGTTATGATTTTTCTTCTGCTGAGTCGAATCATATAAGCTGACTCATTAGTCGACTTATAAGTCGACTCATGAGTCGACTAATAAGTCGACTTATGAAAGAGCCGTTGCACAGTAACGGCTAGTTTCCAGCAGTGTTTTCTGGGGGCTTTTTTGGTCTTTTTCTTGGGGTTTTTTGCTAAAGTTTTGTATGGGTATAAATACCCCTTGCTCTCATCTTTCACAATAATCTAAGAAATGTTTTAAAACAAGTTTAAGAGAGTTTTAAAAGTTTGTTTATGTTTGTTTAAAGGTGTTTAAAGCATTGTTTCAAAGTTTCGGTTTTGTGAAGATAATTTCACAAGAGGAAGAAGAGATCATCCTTTGGTGTTTGAGCTTCAACTCATCTTTCTCTCTCTCTCTTGATCTATAGAGAAGTTTTCCTAAACTCATTCTAGCTATTTATTGTTTTGTTTCTAATTTCTATAAGCTAGATTTATATTGAGTTTAGTTAAATTGTTTTTATTGAATCTTTTTGTTCACACACAATCTATTGAGCTTATAGTATTTATATTCATAGTATATTTTGGGTTGTGGGGTTTGTAACTTAGAGTTGTGTCTAATTGAGTTCTCACCTTGTTTAGAGAACAATCATTTGTTGTGCTTAATTTGTGAAGTTCACTTTGTAATACACTTGTACACCGAGAGGAGTGTGTGGTGAGGACGGAGTCGATACCGAGAGGAGTGGCGTCGGTGGCCTAGTGAGAGGTGATAATTCCGAGCACTTAAGGGAGTCGATACGTGAGGACCAACACTTGAGGTTGTAACTTGTGTATGTACTTTGTGAGGATTTGTGAGAGTTGTCGGTTGACTTGATAACCGAGTGTGTAGAGTTTTCGGTTAGCTAGAAAACCGAGTGTGTAGAGAAGTTCCAGCTTCCAAACCGGGTTGTGTAGTGGATTCTCCTCGAGAGTGGGGAGCGGGGACGTAGGACGGAATGTCCGAACCTCGTGAACATATAGCGTGTTTGGTTTGCATTAGCGCA